ATGCGTTTGAGTCCTTCAAAGCCCACTTGACAAATGGACAGAGCTGCCCAGGCCTCCAAGAGCTTGGAGCTGCACCCTGGGGACCACCTTCACTCACTCACTTGCCAAGCCCCAAGTGCACAGGCGCTCAGCTGGGAGGGCTGGCGGGATCTGAAAACAACTGCCACTTGATGGCAGTATTGCACCACAAATGCCACCTGCCCTGTTCTCCATTGTTCTTCCCTCCGCCCTTCGGGAAGGAAAAAACATCCAGCGCTGTGTAGCGCGAGTCCAACATGGCTGCTGCGCCTGGCTCTGAGGGGAGCAGGAGCATTACCACAGGGCACTGGTGCCACAACCTCCTCATGCCACAGCACCAATCTAGATGGCCTTCCTGGGCTAAGCTAGGCACCAGGAATACTTACCTAGTCATTAAGGAACCCACCCCTGCTGTGGAGGATGCCCTGCCTACAGGAGCCACCTCTTAGAACTGGGATTCCTTGCATTCTTCCATAATCCAACCCAGAGCCTCACAGGCTCAAAACCCCACTGATTCAACATTACTCTCACTGGGACTTTTCACTGGGTTCTGCATGGTCAGCTTGCTCAGGAGGTGCAGGACAGTTAGACATTCTGAGTCACTGCAGGCCACTTTAACATGATGTCTCAGGAACCCCGAGGGACTGGGAGGGAACAGGGAGTGAGGAGTCACAGCCATCCCAGGACCACAGGCCTCAGGACCTGCCTCCTCACACAGCATTCTCCCAAGGTCTGCAGGCAACGAGGGTCCCACACTCGGGCCAGGCAGGAATAAGGAACACACCAAAGACAGACATGACCTGGGATGACAAGGAAGTTCAGCCAGCAGGCCAGCTGTCACTGAGCCCTGTGACGCCAGCTTGCCCAAGTGGTCCAGGCCTGGCAGATATTTGGACTGAGTGAATTACAAGGCAGGTTGCCAGGAAGTCACAGGCAGCCAGACATAAAGGACCGGAACCCTGAGGCAAAGGGAAGGACAGGAAACTTTGAAGCTACAGCCATCCCTGTACCACAGGCCTCAATACCTGTCTGCACTCACAGGTCTCACCCCTGGTCTGCTGACAATCAGCGCCTACACTAATGCCACTCAAGAGAGCAGGCAGTGCCACACCTGGCTGAGGGTCAAGGGCTTGAGAACTCTCACAAGCAGCTGAGGGACACACATAGGACTGCCAGCATGTTAATTAGAAGGCATCTCGGCAAGGGAAATAGAACACATATGCACACGTGATTGACTAAGCTGGGAGGTGAGAAAGTATCTGACAGGCAGGTGACAATGAATCTGTGAATGAGTGGGACCAAAGGGGGAACACAGGCATATGTGCACGTGGAGCTACCCGGAAGTTTAGTAAAGGTCACCTCAATACCTGGAGCCACTACGTACCCCTCCAGACCCTGAAGCCACACCTGGGTCTCTCCATACAGAGTGATGAACCTGGGCCCAGGAAGGTGAGCCAGGGCGTCATCCTCCCTGTCCTCCCATCTGAGGCGGGCCCTGTCACTTCCTGCTACCTCCATAATGCCCTGCTTCCTACACAGGCCTGCTCCTGTGCCATAGACCAAAGAGATGCGGACTTGGGAAGACACCCAGTCCTCTTTCAGAGATGGTTTGCAAAGGGATAAAAGAGGAAAGGTGGAAATAAGAAGAGAGGAAACCCTGGAACTCATACTCCAGAAGTTAGAACCAAGGATCCCCAGGAAAGCACAACTCTCCCTCAGAAGCCGCCACCTTACCAGGTCTTTATAAACTCCCCCAGTGTGCCCAGAAACCTGGAGAGACCATGACATGATTTTAGGGCCTGAATGCACATGAAAGCAGACATACGAAGGGAAGTACAGACATACCCTGGTCTTCTGTTGTTTTGTACACATATACATTGCAAAGAGAGAAAAGAAAAGGGCAACCACTTCCCTCAGTACCTGAATTCACCAAATCAGGGATTAGGGGTCATTCTTTTGTACTTTCATGGACAGACGGTGGAGGCAGAGTTGGGGAAAGTCAGGGCAGGCAGCATTTCTGGAGCAACACTGTGATCAGACCATCATGATTTGCGCACGGCATCTAGTACTTCTTTGTACACCCTTGGTAGGAGGTTTGTTTTGCAAGGGTGGATTGAACACACTCAGTGTGTCCTGTAAGTGGACTGGTCTAGCCCAGCAGGGGCCTCCTCAGTGGGATCACACAGATGGCAGCAGAGTCACAAATGCATAGCTGCACACCCAAGTTTGGCTATCCAGGACAGCCAGGGCGAGGAGGCAAGGCCAGTGCCCAGCAGCCGCGCATTCTGCATCTGAGAACTAAGGTTTCTTCTGGGCACGTGGCCCCCTGATACAGCAGCTGGAGAACTCCTGATTTTAGGGAACAGAGCAGAGCCAGTAAGAGTTACAGGTCCATTTCTGCTCAGTTTCTGTGTATTTCATGCCACTCCCCTCAAAGAGATTCTGAGTAGGCAGGGGTGCCATCCCTTCCCATTCACTCCTGCTGCAGGCTCCTCCCACACTGCAGGGATCCCATTCCCCTAGGAGGGCCCCTGTAACCCCAGCTGCTTCTGTAAGGACCACTGACATCAGGACTCCAGCTCTATGCTCCTCTTGGGACTGGGAACCTCACAGGGGTTCATAGGGAGGCTGAATGTACCTTCTGTAACACAGAAACCAATGAGGGGGGGGGGGGCGGACAGATGAGCCACCTCCTCTCCCATAAGCAGGTTTTGAAATCGGAAGAGTTCCATGGTGTTTTAGGATACAAATTCAAGAACGAAGCAATCCTTTTTGGTCAGAGCTCACCTAACACAATGGCCCTGGGCCTCCTAAGGGACAGGGGATAAGCAAATGGCGCTCTGGACACTCAGGTCTTGGCTGAGCAGACTTCCACTAGCTCCGCCCACACATGGCTGCCACCTGACTCCGGAGCTCTGCCTGGCTGGGACATAGCTGTCTCGCACCTTGAAGCTCAGCCCCAAGTCCTGCACGTTTCCAGGGTCTCGGCAAACCACACTGGGTCTCTAAGGATTCTGAGACCTCCAACGGCACAGCCCTCCAAAGGACTCCCCTGTACGCTCACTTCCCTGCCATCCAGTCCCGCGCAGGCGCACAGCCAAACAACTGCTGAGATCTAGAAACTGTTTCCTCTTGATGGCAGTATTGCACCACAAATGCCACTCGTCCTGCCCTCTGCACCTCCTCCCTCCTCCCTTCGCGCAGCAAAAAACGCCCAGCGCAGTCCAGCAGAGATCCAACAGGGCTACTCTGCCTGGCTGTGAGGGGAGAAACAGGAACTGCACAGCCCTGGGTGCTGCACGGAAAAAGTGCCCACCCAGCCTGGCCTCAGCACACTCCTCCTAGGCTGCCCTGGGGACAAGCCCCACAGCACTGAGGGTCAGGGCACGCCCAGCTGTGGAGGACCCTATGCCTAGCTGAGCTGCCCCCTTTCCATGGAGGCCATTTCAATCCTCCCGTATTCCAACCCAGGGAGTCACAGGCTGGGAACCCAGCTGACTCAACGCTAGATTCAGTGGGACCTTCTGACTGGGCTGTGCACTGCCAGCTAGCCCAGGAGGTGCAGGGCTGTCAGACATGCTGACACTCACTGAGGCCACACTGACATGATGACAGGGCAGGCTCACAGAGATGCTGGGAAGGAGCAGAGTGAGGAGTTTCGGCTATCCCAGGACCACAGGCCCCAGTACTGCCGCCTCTCACAGGGCTCTGCCAAGGTCTGCAGACAAGGAGGGGCCCACACTCAGGCCGGACAGGAACAAGGAACACACTGAAGACACACAGACAGGCACACACATACACTCACCCCCTCACACACACAAGACACAGGAACAACTGTCACAACTCTCAGAAGTTACTCAGGGAAACATACTAGTGCTAGTAGGTTAATTTAAGCACTCTCTCTTCACAGCAGATATGACAGATGTGGGGTCTGCAAAAGCAAGGGGAACAGCACACAAATGCACACTGAGAAAGGAGGTCTCTGCACTTGAGGTGGGAATGAATCAGTGAAGCAGGTGGGAGCAGAATGGAGGGCACAGCCGCACTTGCTTTAGGAGCTACCGGAAGGTGATGAGAATGCACTGGTCCTGGGGACGGTCACCTCCATGTGTGAAGCTACCCTTCGCTCCTCCTGACCATGGATCCACAACCTGGAGCACACTCCTACTCAGGACTGCTACAGGGGCCACAACAACCCTACTACCTAATTCATGACTCATGAGCAACTGCTCAACAATTCTCACCAGGGGTTTGCAGCAGAAATGTGTGGATGGGTCATGTGTTAATGGAGAGGAGTCTCAACAAGGAAAGGCACTGGCAGCTATGGGCAACAGCAGACGAAAATGTTAATGAAGACACATCATTTGAGTCAGTGAGAAGCTACGTTTTACCCAGAAAGGGCGTGACATCTGATGATAGCACCTTTTTTCTTGGTCAGTCAAGACAGAAAACGAGTAGCCTGGAGAGACCAAGAACGAGACTGAGAGGACAGCCCCAGGATACAGCCTGAGCACCGTGTAGCAATTCCAGCAACAAATGTTGATGAATCCCAAATGGCCTAAAGGAGGGTCTCAGGACATTGATGTGTGCCCAGGACACATCGGGAGATCACCGGAGGAACAGGCATCCATAGGAAGGGGCCCAGGCTCCAGCACAGGAAAGCAAAGGCCTGAAAACCCTGCATTTCCAATGGGTCTGCAAGAGACAGCCCTGCCCATGCGGGGCCTACCTCACTTCTCCCCCAGGACAGATGGCCTCACAGGGAAGCAGGCCTATCCCTTCCCATCTCCCCTGCCCCCTGGTATCTGACCTCCCATTCCGTGGAGCTATGCCCACTCCCTTAACGGACACACAGTTCAGAGTTAATTAATCCCCCATCTCCTACTGGGGGGTCGTCCCACCGTGAGGACCTCACTCGGGAGCCGGGAGCCCCTTCTACCAGGCAGGTGAACAGCACTGCCCTGTGTGAGGATCCCACCTACCTCAGCACTGTCTCCTTCCTGAGGGCTGCTGACACCGCAGGACCTCTGTTGTTGCCACGGCATGAAGAGACTCTTCCTGAAAAGCAGGAGAAACAACACTCATCACTCACCCACAACCCAGCACCCACAGTACCTGGGACTGGCTGTGCTTCCCTGTCTCTCTGTCCCTCTGCTTGCAATAAAACAGCAGATGTTCCTCAATCCATGAGCAGTCCTCCCAGCCACTACAGAGAGGGCCTTACTGTCCACCATCAAGTCAGGGGTCACCCAGGAATTCTGAAGAATGTGCAGCCTGAACATCAACATACTCAGCTTTGGGAACTGTGCAAGGCTAAGTGGGGGCTGCTAAAAGAGGTTTTTCTCATGCAGAGAACTCCTGTGAGGGCAGAGGACAGATGACTTCACCTGCCAGGTCCTTTCCGGGGGACTCAGGAGTACCCTCTCTTTGACATCGGGCCTTACAGAGTGTCCCTCCTCATCTGTGTCCTCTGGTGACACCACAGGAACACATATCGGAAAATCACTGCAGTATCCGTGAATGGAATCACAGACCCTCCATTGGACAGTACCTCCTGGGCCTTGTACACGGATATTGGGAAGGCAGATCTCCACTCCAGCTGCACACAGACCTGCCCCTGTCCTCTACAGAGTTAAGAGCTGTTCTGGGAGGATGAGGCCATGTCTCAGTCCCCAGGTGCTTGCCTCTGACACAGGCACTGTAATGTACCATGAGACACATTCACCATGCTATGTTTGCTTTCTTTAGCGCTCATCACTTCAATGATAAAAAGCAGAATTTTTTTTTCTTTTTTTGACAGGCAGAGTGGACAGTGAGAGAGAGAGAGAGAGAAAGGTCTTCCGTCGCCATTGGTTCACCCTCCAATGGCCGCCGCGCTGCGACCGGCGCACCGCGCTGATCTGATGACAGGAGCCAGGTGCTTCTCCTGGTCTCCCATGGGGTGCAGGGCCCAAGGACTTGGGCCATCCTCCACTGCACTCCCTGGCCACAGCAGAGAGCTGGCCTGGAAGAGGGGCAACCGGGAAAGAATCCGGCGCCCCGACCGGGACTAGAACCCGGTGTGCCGGCGCCGCTAGGTGGAGGATTAGCCTAGTGAGCCGCGGCGCCGGCCAAAAGCAGGAGAATTATACTTGATTGTCACTGTATGGAGGGTCCACAGGAGGTGTGGCAGGCAGAAGGACAAGGTGGGCGGGATCAGTATGCAATGCTAAGGGCTACATTTTCAACAGAAGGAAATTCCTATGCAAAGTAGTATTAGCCAAGTGGGTTATGGGAGAAAACAGGAAAACATACATACATATGTACATACAGGCATATCCTAAATACACGAGAAAGCATGTGTGTACATAGGCATAGACACAAGGCCACCCTGCAACCTTCAGACTAGGACACTGTCACTGTGCGTGCGAAGCCAGCTTGTCCAGAAGGACCTGGGAAGGCAGATATTTAGACCAGTTCAATTACAAGTTAGTTTCCCCTAAAATTTCAAGCAGCCAGACAAAATGGATACAGACCCAAAACACTGGGAAGGAGAGGAGAGTTTGGAGTTACAACCATCCAAGTACCATAGGCCTCAGTACAGGTCTGCTCTCACAAGTCTCACATATCGGCAGAAGGACATGGTGGCAGGGATCAGTGTGCAATGTTAAGGGCGACAATTTCCAATGGAAGGAATCCCTATGCACAGTAGTATTTCCAAGTTGGTTATGGGAGAAAGAATTTGGAAAATGTGCATTAATACATATGGGCATAACTTAAATACATGGGAAAACATGTGTGTACACATGGATGAAAGAATGAATGAATCAATCAGTAAGTGGAGAGAGGGGAATTAATACTCAATGCGGTTCAGTGAAGAACCAGAACAGCCACTGATGTGAATGGCTGCTCTGGCTGGCTCTGCAGGGAGCACTGGGTGCTCCAAGGTCATTGCACATGTGCACCGTGGCCTCTACACCCTTCTCTAGGGCTGCATGAGGCTCTGTGTGATAAGGCTATTGACTGCCACACCAGAAATGGATTACACCTACACCTACCTGTCGCTCCCCGTCTTCATGGGGGAACGACACTAAACCCTGCCTAGGCTTCATATCCGAGTCACGGCACCATTATGTCGCTCCCCCTCTTCGTGGAGGAGCAACACAGGACCCTGCGCTGTTCTTTCGTCTGCTCGGCCCTCCCCGGGTTTGCTGCTGGTTCTTCCCGGGTTGGCTACTATCCCTTCCACCTCCGTGGAAGGGCAGTTCCCCCTGGCCGCATTCCCCACTTCCGCAGGGGAGCGGCACACCGCCGGCCGGCTTTCTCGGGGGCTGCACGGGTTCCCTTTAGATGTTCCCCATAGATGTTTCCGGTGCATGCCGTCTCTCTCCTCCTTTATAGTCCTCTTCCGCCAATCCTAACTCGGCTGCCCACACGCCAAGTACGCTGCTCTCCAATCAGGAGCAAGTCCTACAGTTAATTGGTTGAACTGGAGGCAGCTGTGCGGAAGCTGTTTACTTCTCTCCCAGCGCCATATTGTGGGAGAGCAGATGCATAGAATAAGTCTTAATTCCAGTAACAGTCTAGTCCGGGCTGCTCCCCACACCTACCCAAGCTGCACCACTGCCACTAGAGGCCAGATCTGTTAGCAGGAAATCCAGACAAGGTGCCCAAAGCCTGGGACCCAGACCACCTGGGAAAGGTCAAATCAGACCTGTCACTGCTCTCTGCAAGGCGAGCCTGACCATGAGGTCCATGGTGGCCACACATTCTGACTGTGTTGTGGATAGGCTTGTATAACAGGAAGTCACAGAAAGGCAGGCAAGTACAGGGACCGAGAGGTACTGGGAAGGATCAGAGAGTAAGGTATAATCAGCATCCTAGGACCACAGGCCTCAGTGCCTCTGTATTCTCACAAGCCGCCTCCCCCCCACCATTCTGCTGCCATGAGGATCCCACACTGTAGTCAATCTGGAGGGAAGCCAGGTGTCACAACAAAGACTCCCACTCTACTTGCACCTGACCCAAGGTCAGTCACCTGAGAACTCTTCAGATGGTGGCTGAGGGATATATCCTTGACTAGGGCATTAAGTAGGAAGAATCTGTATCCACCAGTGATCTCTGAGGCAGATGTGGGGATAGAAAAGGAAGGGGAGTAGACACAGATGTATTCTTGATCAATTAACTTCAGAGGTGACAACAGGTCCGCGCGTGCAGGTGGAATGAATCAATGTAGGCACAGGAATGAATGGGGGCACAGCCACACCTGCATTGGAGCTACCTGGAAGGTAAAGCACACCAAGGTCCTGGACAAGGTGTTCTCCATGTGTGCAGCCACTCTCACCTCCTCCACACCATGCAACCCCAGCCTGGGGCACTCTAAAGACATGACTACCTAGGACCACGGGGGTGGGGCTGGGCTTCATCCTCTGTCCTCCCACCTGATGTGCACTTCGTGCTGCTCCCACAATGTCCAACTTCCCACCCAGGCATGCTATCATGTCCTTGACCTGGAAGAGATTCTGGCTTGGGAAGTCACCTGTCTTCTCTCTGGGATGAACTGAAAAGGGACAAAAGAGAGGAACTGAGGAAATAAGAAGAGAGGAAATCCTGGAACTCATCCTACATGAAGTTAGGACCCAAGATTCCCAGAAGACAAGATCTTACCAGGGCTTTACAAAGTCTCCAAGTGTGCTCAGAAACCTGACGAATGGTTAACAGGATTTTAGGGCATTTGCATGTAACTCAGCATTGTGGTATAGTGGGTAAAGCCACCACCTGCAATGCCAGCATCTCATATGGGTGCCAGTTCAGGTGCTGGCTGTTCATTTCTGATCTACCTCCCTACTGATGTGCCTGCAGGAGCAGCAGAAGCTAGTCCAAGAGTTTGGGCCCTTGCACCCATGTGGGAGACCCAGATAAAGCTTCTGGCTCCTGACTTTTGGCTTTGTATTGGATGAGACTTGGTCAATTACAGGGACTCAGAGGGGAGACACACTTCCTCTACTGGCTTCTGCCACACCAGCAAGGATCCCATCCATCACCACCACCCCACCCTGCAGGACCTCTGCAGTCAGACCTCCGGATCCATGTTCCTAACGGGACTGGGGACCTCCCGGTTGTTCACAGGGAGGCTGAGTGTAAGGAACACAGAAAAGAAAATGGAGCAGCACTGCCTCTAACAGGGGATGACTTTTAAATTAAAAGAGCTCTGCAGTTTTCTGGGGGTAAACCCAAGGCTGAAAGTGTTCTTTTGGGTCTTGACCTCACCTAACCCAATGACCCTGCAGTTCCCAGGGCAAGAGAAAGGAGGTAGAGGGAGCCCCAGCCTCTAACCTGGATCCACTCAGGTCCTGGCTGAGCAGATTTCTACTGGCTCCGCCCAGGCACGGCCACTATGCGCTCCTAAGCTCTGCTGGGCTGGGCCGCAGTTGCACTGCATGCTGGAGCTTGGCCCCCTAGGCCCCATCTGTGTCTGGGTCCTCCAGAGCCCACATGATGCTGGGAACGTCCTAGACCGGGCCTCCATGAGCTCTGAGCCCTTTCAGAGTATATCCCGACATCCCACTACACATACATTTCCCTGCCAAGACAGTCCCGCGCAAGCGCACAGCCACCACGGCTGGCGGGATCCACAAACTTCTTCCTCTTGATGGCAGTATTGTACCACAAATGCCACCTGCCCTGCCCCCACCCCCCGCCCTTCGCACAGCAAAAAACTCCCAGTTAGCCCACAGGGAGCCCAGCGTGGTCGCTCTGCTGGGCTGTCTGTGAAGCAAGAGGACCTACAGAACAGCACTGCGTGCTGTACCATCCCCATATCTTTGCAGCCTGGCCTCAGCACACTGCTCCTGCACTACCTTCAGGACTACCATGCAAGGGACACTCCCAAGGGCAACCTCAGCAGGTGTAGGGCACCTGGGCCTAGGCGGACTGCATTGTCTGCATCGCACCTGGCTTTAGCTCTTGGGGATCCAGGCAAGGGCCCCATGATTCAATTAAAGCCCACCCCGCAACAGCTGGACTCGGACTTTGTCACTGAGCCCTGTGACATGAGCTTGCCCAGAAGGCCCAGGCCT